CGATCCCGGTCTCCTCTCCGCAGGAGCCGAACCTTCGGACGTAATCGAAGGTGAACGCCTTGCGCGTCCTCCCCACCTCATGGTTCCCGATTTCGGATAACGGACCGTCCCTTCCCCGATACACCGAAAAACTTCCAGGGAACTCGCATCCCGGCTACGTTGATAAATTATACCGATTAACTTACATACACCGAGAACAAAAAAAAATGCATCGAATCAAAGAAATATTGCGTTAATTCAAAGAATAATTACTCTACTGAAATAAATTCTCATACTTCCGAATAAACGCGGCATCCAATTTGTTCGACTCTCTTCGAGTGAAAGAATTACTTTTTGAATCCGAGATTCCGATTTTGAAGAAATTAGAATGGAAGTTGGAATTCGCTCCCGGTTCCGTCCACCTCGTTGCTCGGTTTATCTCGCAAAAGGACGTCCACGGGTAGCACCTTGGGCAGGGTCTAAAAAATCCTAAGAGGCCCGGGACATCCTCGTTACCATCTCGCGTTTCCTCGTGCGAGTGGGAATAAAGAAACGGAGGCACGAGCGGGTAAATAAAAGTAAGAAATAAGCGATGACTTGGCTGGATGCAGGGGCCCCTCCTGTACCTCGTCCTCGGTCGCATCTGCGCCGATCCGCGGTTGAACGAACTGCCTTCGACTTCGATGTGGCCGGCGCAACGGCTCCGGCTACGCTTGCAGTTGCAACGGTAAACCGCGAACCGGTGTGCTTGTAAGACCGTCCGCGAGAGGGAGAGAGAGGGAGCGATCGATGTAACACTGCCACCTAGCGGTACAGAGCCCCCTCCACCGATTCGGGGCTAGCCGGCGCACGCTTCGCGGTTTCACGAGGTGCGTGACGCGTGCATCGCGGGCCACGCGGGAGATGGCTACCGTGTGCGGGAGCACGCCCCGAGATCCATCCCTTTTTATGGGATCCTTCTCCGAAACGCGATGGGGAAACAATGGAGAGTGGCCGGTCGGTCGCAATCGAAATCTCCTCCCATGCTTTGGGAGGGAAAATAAGAACTTGGGTATAGATAAGAGAAACGCGACGGAGAGGTTGGATTTTTCCGTGGCGCGGGAGATCGTAGCGGTACGGCCACCTACTCCCGCGAATCCCGGTCCCCGGGGAGGAGGGGATTTCATTGAAGGCGCACACCGGTGCTTTCGAAAAATCGACCAAGTCCGATGCCGATGAAATATACTGTTGCTTAACGGTGCCTTCGGGTTGCGGCGGTCGCGGGGACGCGTCCCGGCGAAAACGGATGTTCGCCTCGAGAAAGGAGGGAAAAAATATCCCCGTCCCGCAACTCCGAGTCGAGGAGGAACGGGGATTTCGGTATAACACCGCCGACTAGCGGTAAAACGCCCCTTCCTCTCGCGGATCGCGCTTTACGGTGCACTTGCACGCGATTGCGCGTGCAAGGACCGCGCGACGCGTAGCCGCTCCTTTTTCCCTCGGCAATCGATCTCGGGAGGCCCTAGGGATGGTACCTTTCTTTGAAAAGCGTCTCGGTGGCCGCTTTTTGGAGGGTGGTTCTCGTCGCGGTGCGGCGTTCCTTTCGACGACGACCCATGGTGGGCGATAAGAGCGATAAGGACCGGGCTTGATATCGCGCCTCTTGGCTGACACGGGAGAGAATGGCGAGGTGCTGCGTTGCGCCAGGTCGCGTGTCCGCATACAATTACGCATGCACGGATTGCGCGATGCGTAACCACTTGTTGTCACGGCGGGCGATAAGAGGGAAAATCTCTCGAAGTCGTCTCAGGTTCCAGGGGTGTGTCTCCTTTGCCATCCTTCCCGAAGAGGTGGATCCACTCCGAGGGCATTTTTTGGAATTCTGAAACGGACGCAATTTTCAGAAAAAGGTTGAAACAATATTTTTCAGGTTTTTTTGGAAGTCATTTTAAAGAAATAATCCTCGATGTCGGATAAACGGAATCGCGGTGGGAGACGGAGTTACGACTTTAGTGACCGATACCCGCGACTCTGCCCACTGCAAGCGAGAAACGGTATTCTCGCGTAATGCCGCATAACGAGCCGTAACGCGACGTAACGTAGCTTATCAATGGACGAACACGTAATGCGCGAGATGCAATTCTCTATTTTCTCTCCTCTCGGAATTATGATAGGGTTCTATTTTTAAATTTGTATCTCGGGAAATCACGGCAAAAACGACGGGTAATATTTGTTCAGTTGGGTGCAGTTTGACCATGCTGGAAATGGCGCTGCGGCCGCAGGCGGGAAACGGTACCGTCGCTAACGCGACACAACATGGCGTAATGCGATATAACGCGACTACGGTCGCACGGAGCGGCGTATCGGCGATCTCTCGAATAAAGCTCCGTTCATCGGCAGAGCCTCGAGCGATCCTCGTTCACGGGCTTGGCGAGGAGCTCTATTGACAGTGGAATTCAGATGCCGATAACGCCGGTAAGTTATTACCCTCCGCTAACCGGTCGACGCTCGCCGGGTAGATCCGCGTTTGGTTAATGGGCCGATAGCGATCGCTCGATTTCGATCGAGAGCGACGATCTACGAGAGCGCAGCATCCGCGCCTTACGAATTGCCGAGACGTTACCTTAAATTTTTTTCTCCCAAAAGTATCGTGGCTTTTCCGGAGTCGAACACTTCCTCGAAACGCAGTCCGGTTGGTACGCCGCCATTGTTGGCGCGATTATCGAAGAGGCGTCTTCTTCGCCGCGAGACTGAGTGTCGCCACCTGCCGGAGAACGTCGGAACCGCGTACCGAAGAATCTTGGCCTCTCCTTGGAAACTTGAAATTCTTAGTCAGAGATCGATCGAGGGGAAATCCCCGATGAAATTGGAATAATATCTGAATTCAAGGCGTTTATTAAATTGTGGGGAAAAAAAAATTCATTAGCACTGGGAGTATTTTATTAATAGGGGCAAAAGTTTGAAATCGCGGGATCTCGATGTTTCAGAGGGGGTATTTCGTGAGCCTGTTCACGATTATTACACACGGAGACGTTCCCTTATCGTATCATTACGATTTTCAATTGCGTTGCCGCTTAAACGTGTCAGGCTGTAACGCATAGAATTTCCGCGTCGCGGTATTATGTGAATAGCGTGGAGAGTGAAATCGATACTATCAACTTCTCTTCTGGATACTCTCCTACAAACTATGTGTAACTTATGCTTTGTCGATAGATTTTAGCGAAATTCATAGGTACTGTCGCAATACTCGAGAAATTGGTATTTCCGTATAAATTTAAATAAATAAAGAACCTGTATCTCCAATTTATTGAACTTTCAATTGTTTTCAGTTTTCTATTCCGAAGGACGTTTACACGATTCCGGGACGTCCGGGGATTTTTACGAAAGACCTCATACATCGAGATTCGCGACATCGACACGACGATTGCACACTTTGAAAATGCGTGGCCAATGAGGAGAGGGGAAGACAAAAGCTCCCGTAAAAGTGTGGATCTCCGGCGTATCCCGGAGCGCTCCCGCAGGAGCGCTTGCGCCCTTTCCCCGAAGCTCCTATATAAATGCGGACACTTGTTGAACGGTGCCCATACCTTCACAACACCCTAGGTATCGTTTACAACTGGCCATCCAGTGCTTCGTACATCCGAAAACATCTTACCGTCCAAATCTTCAACGTAGATCGTCAGAAACCAGCTCGAGGTCAGTTTTCTCACGCATCTCTGGAAAGAAGAAATTCGGACCCCGAGTCCATTCTTTTAATTTTCTGAGTCTCCCTTCAATGAAATTTACGCACCAGTGATATCTAAAACATTAACGGGGTCTGTTAGAATTTTACGTCGAGTAGGGCGCGGCTGAAAAATTATTAGAATTATTTATGGATCCTTTCTGCCAAGAAATGGACTGGGACTTATTAATTGTTTTTTGTGGCGAGTCGTGACCTCTTTCCTGGGATGTGATTTCGGTTTCCGGAGATACAGCCAAGTTCTCATTCGGCAAGAAATCGGAAAGAAAATGCAATATCGAGGATTCGATTTTGGACGGAACTCAAAATTCCAATGGTAGCTTTCTCGGATGAATAATGCATCGCGAATCTTGGAGATGCGATTTTCAAGGGCCTGTCAGGAGGGTCCGTCCTATTGACAGGACGCGTCGATATCCTTTCAAATGTCCCAAATGGATCGGGGTTGAGTCTTTCTCTGGTCGGTCGATGTTATTATTGGGAATTTAACGCCCTCGAGAAGAACTTAAACGAGTCAATAATTTTGAAGAGAAAAATTCAAGTCCGACCTGGCTGGACCCTCGCAAAACGGATGAGGCGTTTCGGTTTTGGAAAGGGATTTTGGGGAAGGTTCATAGTGGAGACCCGTGTTTCGTGAAATAAGATTAGCTGCTATTTCCAGAGCGATTTGCCCTCCTCCATGTATGTAGACGAACCGGCCAGAATGGACATTTCGAGTCCAGTGACGTTTCGTACTCGAAGCGGTACCGTCCTGCTCGCGAGCTCTTCTAAAACTACTTTTGCATTATTTAGTTAAAAAAATCTTTGCTTCCGTTTACTCGACATCTTTGGGGTGGATCGTAGTGAATAATCTTCCGTGTTAAAGTCGACTGCAAATAGGAAATTGTTGATCCGTTTGGTCCTCGAAAATTAATTTCGTACCCTCGGTTCAGAAAATTCAGTTTAAAAGCAATCCGAGGCGCAAATGATAGCCTCACACATAAGGGGACGGTATTTAGTTCTAGGCCGCGCCAAGCCTTGTGACACTACCCTAATAAGCTCGGACCGAATGACAGGCGATCGATGCCGAATCCGTAGAAAATCATCGGTCCGCGCTGTCATCTTCAAAGTTCGAGCTCGCTAGGTCAACGCATGGTGTGTTAACTGGCACGGAGCATTCCGATCAAAAAGGGACAAGAAATTCGTTAAAAAAAAATCAAATTCCGCGAGTGGAAGAGATTTCGTCCAAGTTCGAAGCGGAGGAGAAGGAGCTTTCGCGTGGAAAGGTTGTCAAAAACTAGACGACACATGCGCGTGAAACGGTGCGATCGGAATTTCGAAATTTGGGTCCTGTGAGTCCTCCGAGGGGAACTTGGAGTTCAAATTCGACAAGTCCTGCCGCTAATCCACCTGCGAACGTCTTTCTCTTGCAGCAAGCATGAATCTGGAGGATTATCGCAAGCACGGTGAGTAAAAAAATATCATTAAATTAAAAACCGCTTTAATTTAAATGCCCGAAAAAATATTATTTTTTTCACACGTATTTAAAATCGAGGTCTGCGTTAAAAATCATTATTGCGACCGTTATTCGCTGGCGAAGCAGCGGGGATCAGCTGAGACAGGTGGAATCGCCTTCGATGCAGAAATTTGAGCTTGGCTAGTTAACTAATTGTTTCGACATTTTAGGGTACGGTACATTCCGGCCTAGTGGCGAGAGTTTCAATATCTCGAGTTTACAATCAAGAATAAACGGATTTTTCTCTCGCATTTTATTTTCTGTTCGAGGTAATAATTTGTAATTCGAGAAATCCCAATGATTATTTCATTTCTCCGAAGCTCCCGGTGAGTTCCCGGGATCGTTCGTCGGAGGTGGTGGATATTGCGAGGTTTCGAGTCGGCCTTTGATCTGGAAGTTTGAAAGTTAGACGCCGGATCAATGGCGAATTTAAGACGAGGGATGTCTCGGAGAAAGGAGGAAAAAAGGGAGAAAGTCCCGGTATCCTTCGCCAGGAAGTCCAGGACGTCTTATGGACGTTCCGGGGGCGAGGGTGCGATGTCCCCCTCCCGTTCCAATAAAGGGAACCGTTCCAGGCAGGAAGAAACATTTAAATAAAACAGATGCACGGGCCGGATCTCTCCGCGCACTATAAAGCGCCTTCAATAAAGAGAAATCGTCCCGCGATACCCGGATTTTATGGGGATGATATCGTTTACCCACCCGCCCCTGTGAAAACGATCGTCCCGCGACTCTTAAGCTTCCAATAAACCCCTTGCACCCTTCCTATCGTATTTTCTCCCCTTCTTAGACACGAGGAATGTGAAAAATGTCCTGCAATTTGGGGACAAGTCCAATTACGGCACGGATCGACGTGATTTCAGTCGGATCGATGCAATTGTTTAAAAAATGTCTGCCTTGCTCCAAACGAGTGCTTCTTTCTCTCTCCCTCTGTACGGGGTTCGATAAACATCCTCGCATCGTTTTACAGAAGAGACGTTTTCAATTAAGCGGGACAATGAGTTTTTCCGATTTTCTCCGTGTCGACTCGTCGACACACCGTCGACGCGACGTCAAGTGCTACATTTTCTCCAGCTAGCAATGGGAAAAAAAATAAGACAATACGAAGACAGTTTGCACAACGAAGTATGTAAACCTCGTTGAAAATCCCCATTACACCGTGGCTCTTTCCAACGATGAACAAAGATTCTGCCCCGATCCTTGTCGTCTGCCGAAAAATAGTGGAGAAATACGAGGAGATCGAGTGGACCGTGATCATCTGTTTGCAGGAAAAGAGATGGTCGATTACATCGCCGACTATCTGGAGACCATCAGGTCTCGCAGGGTTTATCCTGCGGTGTCGCCAGGATACCTCAGAAATATCCTGCCAGCCTCCGCTCCCGTCGACGGCGAGTCCTGGGAGGACATTTTCGGGGACATCGAGAAATGCATCATGCCCGGTTTGACGCATTGGCAGAGTCCTCACATGCACGCGTATTTCCCTGCCTTGAATTCCCCTGCGAGTCTTCTGGCGGACATGCTGGCAGACGCTATAAATTGTCTGGGATTCACCTGGGTAAGCTAACGGACGAGTTGAAAAAATGAAAAATCTAAAAATAAAATTCTGACAAGAAGAAAAAAAATTTGTTAACAGGCTTCCAGTCCAGCATGTACCGAACTCGAGGCTATCGTGATGAATTGGCTTGGAAAAATGATCGGACTCCCGGAGGAGTTCCTGCATCGTCCTGGAGGATCAGGAGGTGGGGTTATTCAGACAACGGCAAGCGAAGCCACCTTGGTCTGTCTTTTGGCTGCCAGGACCAGGGCGATCAGAGAGATCCAGCGAAACGAACCCGATCGACTGCCAACGGAGATCAATTCGAAATTGGTCGCCTACTGCTCCGATCAGGTGATTTTCCATCTATTTGCGGATCGTTTATATTAAAGACATAATTGGTGTTAATTAATTTAAATGTCTTGGCACCTCTAGGCGCATTCCAGCGTGGAAAAAGCAGGACTCATTGGACTCGTTACGATGCGGTACATAGAGTCGGACGGCGAGCTGAGCATGCGAGGAGAGACGCTAATGAAAGTCCTGAAGCAAGATCGTGAGGACGGACTCGTACCCTTTTTCGTAAGTTGATGTCAAAATTACGACGATTTAAATACAGCCAAACCTAATATCTGCCACTTAAAGGTGTGCAAAAAATTATTTTGTTCTTGAAATAAATTAATTGCCACGAATTCGAGAGGGAAAGGGGGTGCACGGAGATCACCTGTTAGAGAAAAAACCTGAAGTCCTTGGCAGGATTTCTTCTCGAGGCTCGACTCGGATCGAGAGCTGCAAGGAGGTGTGGAACTGTATAATTATGGTAATAACGGCGGAAACGGTGTGGCGAACCATCTGCTCCCAGAGCATTTATTTACGAGGGCCTCGAGGGCGCACTTAAAGACGCATCGACTCTCCTGGCGAGACCGCGAGGGAGGAAAGAAGCTGGGATATCCGGAGCGGAGGCTGGGAGACGATCTTCTTACAAACGGACAATCTCGCTCGCCCAATTAGCCTTGTCTTAACGGAGATTTTGCTCTCCGAAGGGAGGATGGCCGATAAATCCCGCTAGTTGGTCCCCGTGGGCTTTTCGACGATGACTTCGGGATCCAAAGTCTGCGCCAAAGAGTGGAATAATTTTCCGACGACTTTGCGGAAATGTAGGTCGACCAGTCATTAGGGCAACGTCGAGAGAATTGACATTCCTCTTATCTGAGAGGGGAATAAATACTTATGGCTACCAGACAATACGTGATCCCCCTGCAACCGTTCTTTATCGGTAACCTTGCTGACGTTTTAGGATGCAGTCATAATAAAAATAATTCTTACGCTACCTTACAAGTTTCCCTTTTTATTTATAAATTTGAGGAATATTTTATAGCGATTGTTGAAATATTTATTTTATATTCAGGTCTGCGCTACTTTGGGTACCACCGGTGCCTGTTCTTTCGACAATCTCAAGGAAATCGGTCCAATTTGTAAGTACAATAATTTTTACATTACCTAGGGTTTTAAAAAATGTCTGTCCCATGTTAGTTGAACATTTAATTATTATTTGTTTGTTCCAGGCGAAAAGGACGGGATTTGGCTGCACATTGATGCAGCTTATGCAGGCAGTGCTTTCGTCTGTCCCGAATTTCGAGGTTGGCTTCAGGGAATCGAACACGCCGACTCGATAGCTTTCAATCCTAGCAAATGGTTGATGGTGCACTTTGACTGCACCGCCATGTGGTGAGATATTCTATCCTATCAACCTTCTCTCGGAGAAAGCCTCTCCCAAGAATGCCCCCTTCAGTAATTGTCTACCGATCGAGCATTGTCGCGGAAGTAAAGCACCGGGAGCAGCCTTTTTGGTCCTGACGTAATTTCCGCAATGAGAAATAGGCTTGAAAGGTCTTAAAGGATTTCAATAGTATTTAAAGCAGATCGATCGACACAGGACCTCGAGGAGCTTTTATTAACTCGATAAGTCCTCGGCGTCTTTTATTCTCAAATTCTCAGAAAAATTAAAAATTCTCAGATGTTACTTTTAATCGCGCCTTTTTTTTTAGGGTTAAAAGTAGTCAAGCTCTGCACAGGACTTTCAACGTAGACCCATTGTATCTGAAACATGAAAATTCAGGTAAAGTATGCATATTTATTTTTGAAATTATATACGTCCGATAATAAATCGAGTGTATATTTTGGTATTATTTAGGGCTTGCAATTGATTATATGGTACGTAACGTATGATACTTCTTCCCTTTCGCGGAAGTGTCTTAAGTGTTCGTAACTTGCGTTATTTCATGGAATCGCATTACGGAGAAAATCTAATTTTAGCACTGGCAAATCCCGCTCTCGAAGAGGTTTCGAGCTCTGAAGCTGTGGTTCGTCATTAGAAATTATGGCATCACCGGTTTGCAGAAACATATAAGAGAGGTACATGAAAGGGTCTGAAAAAAATTCTTTAACAATTTCCATTCGTGAAAAATTACGTAAAGAAGACAAAGTGAGGTAAAGGAAAAGAAATCGAGGGCCGATTTTTCCTTCTCTTCAGGGCGTTCGATTGGCTCAAAAATTCGAGGCACTCGTCCTGGCGGACTCGCGTTTCGAGATTCCTGCAACCAGGCACTTGGGATTAGTGGTTTTTCGTCTCCGAGGTGACAATTCCTGGACGGAGCGATTACTGAAGAAGATGAACACCAGGGGCAGGGTCCACTGCGTGCCGGCTGCCCTGCACGGGAAATACGTCATCAGATTCACCGTCACCTCGTCGAAGTGAGGCTCGTCGCTGCATTTTTTCGAGACAGGAACAAAAGGTCGAGTTAGTCGAACTCCGGATTTTCTGGTTCCAGCACCACCAACGAAGACATTCTGACCGACTGGGCGGAGATTCGAAACACGGCCGGCGAAATTCTGGAAGACCACAAGGGATCGCCGGTCAGAGCAAAGGTTTCCCTTGCAGGTGACTACTCCGTTAATAAGAACGTTTCTTCGGTCGAAAAAAGTAGGGAGGCATTGTGTTACAATTTAAAATACATTTTGGATTGACTTAGAAAAATTAAATTGTATGATCTTATAACAAGGAATTGTCAGTTTTGAAATACTCCGTGCCGAGCATTCCCTTTCGACGTGTCGTTGGAATAAAGTGAAAATGAATATTTTTCCCGGTCTAAATTAGAAACGCGCGAAAGAAACGAAAACTTTGGGTCGAGCCTGCTCTTGGCGAATTCGCCGATGTCCCCGAAAATCGTCAATGGCAGTTTTGCGGCCATTTACGACACCGCGGATGTCTTCAATGAATGCGTGCGACACTTCGGACAATTGCGACTGGATGCGAGGGACAGTCCAGGTATGGCAATTTTTAATAGATTTATGGGGCACTCCATAAAATCCTTTTGATTTGCTGTCAACAGAGATGCGTCGCCGCATTCGAGGAATCCTGATGTCGGGAAAGCAGTTTTCCCTGGATTCTCGCATGGACCTGGTCCAGGTAATTCATGCCACTCGCTATATTAAATTAAATTAATTTTAGAGCATAGGAGAATAGTCTTCGGGGATCTGAAAAATTGTAATCAATAACGAGGAATACGTGACTCGTTTAAGGGATACGCGTCCTGCGGCCGATCCCTGGCTGAGCCCTGCTCGAATCTCCCCCTGATGAAGGAGGACGACGACTGCACCGGAAAGACGGAATCTTCGATAAGCATCGACAAGACCGATTCCTCAATGGGTAAGTCGATAAAATACATTAGAAATGAAAAAAGTGGACAGACTGGAAAATGGGAACAGTTTTCCCCTCAGGGAACTCCTGCGGAAGTCTGACTGCGCCTTCGGACTCCGAAGAGTCCTTTGAAAGGAATGCCGAAGACACCGGAAGAGACGCGGCCAGAGTGGTGAATGGCAAGGTGGATTCCGGTCGAGAAGAGACCAGGGATAAGGCCATGTCAAAGAGCGAGACCATCGGAGGGATCAGCAACCTCGCAAACTCCGAGGCGACGATTTCACCACTCTCGAGGGAGGACTCTCGGGAAGGAGCCAAGTACTGCCGGAAATGTGGACACTACGGGAAGCAGCAATAAGGGATACTAACGGTTAATAAAAATTTCCAAAGCCCGGCAAGACGTAGACAAGGAAAGTAACGGAGTCGAAGACTCGTCCATAGCTTCGATCGCCGATCTCCAAAATCAACATGTCCGTATTTTAGTTGAAAAGTTACCCTCGATTTTCTAGATTTCAGGGAATCGGGGAAAATGCATCGGACATGTAGCTTAAATTAATGCTAACGGGCCAAGTCGGCGAATAAAATGCGCAATGAATCGTCGCTCTTTCAGGTTCTTCTCCTCCTCTTCCATCTCTCTGATTTTTATTTCTTTTTATTTTTAGGAATATCTGCCAAGTCTTTCGGAAAATTTCCGAGGAAGGTTTCTTGAATTGTTTCCTTGTTTACCTGGTTTGGTGGGATGACCTAGATTTTTCAGAAAATATGGTAAGGCGATTTGAGTAAGGGGTGATATATAAATTTTATTTCGATCAATGATATGACATGATTAAATGCTCTACGCGTCAGCGTCGCGTGCTTCGTTCCTTTTCGTCAGTCTTCTCGCAGTGGATCCACCACGCAGGAGATAACGTCGGTTTTTTATTCGCGTTCAACGCAAACAATTCGCAATTCCTTACTAGCTAGTGACATCTCACGATTTTGAGTCTAGCGAAGTCGAATCCGTGCGGCCACTCGTCTCGAATTATGAGCGAAAGGTCCAAAACGCTGCCAGACTAATTTTCAATCAGATTATATTTCACTACATACTTCCATCCTAAATTTAATTCCAAGTGACAGGAATCTTGAAAATAAAAATTCTCGTCATTTAAAATTTAAAAATTGAAAAATCTAGAATGGCACCGTCTACGAACCTCGGCCTTTTTCGCAAAGGAATTTCAACCTATCCGCGCAAAGCGTCGCTCGCTAATATCTAGGCACCAAAACTTCGAATGTGGAATTCCAAAGCTCTTCCCAGAATTCTCATTTCTCTAAAAGCCCGCAAGACTTAACTAGTAAGGCCGTGAAATCAAACACGTTATCACAAAATTCTACTCCCTCCCCCAGTGTAGTAAATAATTTAAAAGGTCCTGCAATAAAAATCGCAAAACGTCTCCAGGTGAGATAGTGCGAGAAGTTTTGGGAAAATGCGATGCATCTGAAAGTCTGATTTTTCGAAGCCTGGGAAAATCCGCGGAATTCGAAAAAAAAAATGAGAGAACGCGCCAAAACGCGCGATACACTCTCTCCGATCGTTCTAGAAACTTTTATCAATATCAACGGTCGTATATCATCTTGTATACACGTGTATACATGTATGTACATATATATATTTATATATTATGTATCGAGAATAGCAATAATTATTGTGCCATTACCCTAGTCGGATCGAGTCGGTCCGGTGCCGAGCGAGAAAAAAAATTGACAAATCGCCCGGCTCAAGCAAGGATTGAAAATTTTTCCGTTCTATACATTTTCGCCCCGACAAAGTGTCGTTCTACCTAACTTTACATCTAGAGCAATGAGGTCTTAATTAAAAGATAGTTTTCGCAATTGCGAGACCACGGACGATTCGCGCCTCTCGGGTTGCTCCACCAAGGTTCGCCTTTGCAAAGGTTTCCGACGATGTTGCGAAAGAGACTAGATTTTCTTAGATAAAAAATTACTGCATAAGGGCAGCGAATAATTTTCCCAGATTTGCGGAAGAAGGGGGTACATTGAAATTAATTAAGATTAAAGATGCCTTCTAAGTAGGTACTACTTAACTCAGGTATTATTTTGTAATATCACTGACGTTATTTTGTTACTTGGTTACTTCATAAAGTGGTAATATTTTCACTCCAGTTTGCAAAATTAATGACGATTGATTACTGCGGTGCAATTTAAAATACAGTACACTGAGAGTCCAAGCGTAAAAGAAGTCGCTAAAGTATGCGCTATAATATTGTAAATAATAGTTATTAAATTGTAAGAAGCTTTTGCTTGATGTTGGCATTGATAAAACGTTATAGGGATATGCCTCCAAAAGTACTCCACTAGTAAATTATATCCTTTGTAGTTCGCGACATATTTAAAGACGCTAGGATTTCCAATTCGTAAAATAATAAGAAATTATGCAATTGCATCCTTCGCCATTAGAGTAGTCCGTTACTTTCAACATTAACACCTTTCCTCTCGAAAGAAAGTTCTTATCCAGTAATCATATCCTCTGATATGTCGCGCAAATTATTGCTTTTCGAAAGAACCTCGATTTTTCCGTACCACAAGGGGTATTACATTTTTTTAATACCGTCCATGCCACCATCAAACGGAGTCGCCTCCAACCCTCGACATGGCGTCGTCGATCGCAAGTGCCTCGGGTAAAATAAAAATCGTGTAGCAGTGTTTGAAACGTTAAGGGGAGTTCTACGTTGGCATCGTTTCGAGAGATTCGCATTAGGCCCTGCCCGTTTCGTCTAGAGATTTTCGCGACATGAAAGCGGGATTACGGTACCGAAATGGCGGCCTCGCAGCCGCGCGTGCTACAATGAATAAATGACGCGGCACGAGCCGCATGGCTTGCCATAGGAATCTCGCGGGTTCAGTTTTGGCGAGTGGCGAAATTCGCTTGGCAAAAGGCTCCGTTTGAGAAAGCCTTTCTGTGAGGACATGCGCGTTCAGCTTGTTCCCGCAAAATCAGCCCGCTATTCGGAGTCGCGTGCAGGAAGCAATCTGAAGGCCCACGTAGTGCGTACATCTTGTCTTCCCCTTTCGTCAGGGTGGAGGGTGGGTCTGCTTTCGACTGCTCCTCTAATCTGCCGGTTTATTTTTCTCCCTAATTGCTCGAACAAAAATAATTTAAAAAAAAGTAAAAAGAGACCGTATTAAACAAAATTAAAGTTTGCAGCGCCTTGCACAAATTCTCGCAAAGTGGTGGGCCACTCATTTATACCATGAATTTCGGTGTACATCTTGTCCCCCTTTTGATTGAATTATTTCATCCTATATCTTCTACTCGACTATTCTTGCACGTAACGAGTACTCCGAACTGCTGGGCAAAGCACGTACCGTGAAACGAAGGATTAACATGTTCATGACCGAGCTAACAGTTTTAACTCACCTCGCGTAGTTGTATCACGCGAGTTTACGTAACCTTGTCACGAACGTGTCAAGACCTCGTTTTACAATCGGCACTTTTCCCTCGTTACTGTATTTTTTACTCGGAACTGAACTCGGTTAAATAAATTCAGTTATTTTTTACTTTTTCTTATTTCTCTCGATCGCAATCACGATGAATTGTACAGCGCGCCCCGGCCTTTCTTATCGCGTATGCAATTATTGCGACCGAGATTGTTTAATTAATTAATTAATTATCTCTGTTTGTGGCAATTAGAGGAGCAGCGGAAAAGTGGAAGAAAGGTGGCGAACGTGTACTAGTAGAGTACTAATTCAGGCATGCAGTCATGCAGAGTGCTCACACAGTGCTGGTGGTACAGTGTTCGAACGCAAAACGTTAAAGGACAACGGTACAATTTCACTCGGTTCTTGGACGAGAATTTTGGTTTAAAAAGGTCATATAAAACACCCTCTTGATTATTCTTCACGGTAAAGTTGTCTGGTGCCAAACTTCTCGGCAATCGCTTCCGCAGCGAAGCTCGGCTCGATGGCAGAAACTTGCCCGGGGAGAAATGTCTATCGCAAATCTTCCAAGCAAACGCGTAAGTCTACGGTAAATAATTGTACTTCACCTTCCGTTGCATTCGTGGGTGAAAAGTGCACCGACATGCAGCATTGACATTCAGTGCCAGAGTGGAAATCAAGTGTGGATGGCCGCGACGGAAAAAAATGCGCCACCGGCAATACTTGTCCGATTTGTCTGTTATTATCGCTACAGAAATTTCATTTCTTCGCGCCAATTCTGAATTTGTTTTTTTATCCCTGCAGCTCCTCAGCTCGTATTTTCATGGTTTCTCCGGAATCACGAGCGAATACCAGAGACACTCGAAACTATTTCTATTTCGGCGAGGCGCCAGCTGTACTGTCCAAACACTCCGCCAAGTATTGCCACGGGTCTGTATTTTTTTCCAGGTTTTCCCGACGCGTCCAACGGATCGAGCAATCGCGAACACGGTCGAGAAAGACGGTGGAGGTCGACGACACCCTAAAAAACAATTGAAATGCCAACTAAAAACACTCTCCCCGGAGCGACTAATCACGAGCTCCGGGGCCTTAAGATCCTATAAAGTCCATTCCACGCGCATCCTCGACTTCTATCTAAGTATTAACTATCTACGATAATCGGTGGTCCGCGAACGGGCTCCAAAAAACGGCCTCCCCACCGTCAAAGTCGGCTTCGATTTCCTCTCCACAGGTACGTCATACAAATTCATACGCGTACTCACTTTCTCTAAATTCTTTTTCGGGTAGTTGCGGATTTTGGGAGCTCGTAAGCAGCGCACACGTCTAGTTGGTGGGCATGCCGAAAACACGCCACGTGAGGACGCCTTCCAAGCGCATTCTAACTACGAATCATTTCCAGTGGTCGGGTCCAGGGGAAAGAGGTCAGTGTAATATACGAGAGATAATTGGAGAGACAAAGAGAGTCCGAGGTGCTCGTTACACATGGTTGGGTGTGGAGCAAGAATCCGGAAGTATCGGGATATAAGTCGCTGTGATTGTAGCCGGCGATTGTTTCGAACGAGGGAACGGATTTGGCAGCCATGTCGGATGGGTCGACCGACAAGATGGCTGTCAAATCCGGAGCGGGAATCCCGAAAAAGTCAGCCCGAAGAAACGCGCGACGTAGAAAAGTCCATTATAGTCTCTCGAGCCGTAAATTTGCGGTGAACACGAACGCCGTATATATATGTTTTTTGTCAACCGAATGGCCGCGGTCGAAGCAGTCGACGATAAGGTATTCGACGGGATCTTCGGAAACTCGAGAAAGAAACTACCCCGAGAGACGCTACGACGTAGAAGAGTTGAAAGTTCCTAGGTGAACGGGTAAAGGTAGATCGTCCCATATCAATGACTCCCAGTGATCCTACGATCTACGAGGACTCTATATACGGGGTGAACAGTCAGTGAGAACTCGTTCATCGCAGCGATCTACGAAGCAAGCTGGGACTGATCGGGATGGAGCGGAGGGTCAGGATCGCGGGCAGGATCAGGAAGAGGAGAGGACTCGTACTGGCCGAGGGAGGGACGCGATTGCACATATCTTCCTCACAGAAGCACATGTGACCAGTGCCGGTACTTTCCATCATGCACACGTGGTCCACCATGAATAAGTTAATCTGTAGCTGCGACGTGCAGGTTCGCCGGACGCTCTCGAACGCTGAGAAAAGAAAGGACCTTTAGACGTCTTCGGGGTGTTTCCATGTTTTTCGGTGATTTCAAAGCCTTCTAAAGCTATGCGGGAATTTTAACAGCTCCTCGGAATTTCGAAGAGGTTATCGAAGGTATCGAATTCGATGATCGTACTCACGTGATTTCGCGTTGCGCACCATTTTTACGCAACATCCGTTGCAGGTCATCAGGGGAGGTTGATCCCTCGGTAATGCGGTGTAGTTGAAGGGGTCCTTGCACCTCAAGTCCGTCCACGAATCGCATTCGTAGCAGTAAACGGACCGGGCTGTGCGTTGAACGTACAAGAAATGAACGTACAAGTAATTTGGCAAATGCCTCGATGCTTGGTAATGAGAGCGAATTCGATCCGTTATTAGTAGGTTAATCACTTACTCTGGCACTCCGCATGACAGACGGTGACAAACGCGAGCAAAATTGCTGCTGAAAAATAGTGATTAGTAAGCTCGTAAAAATGAATACCGGGGTTGTTACTTGATCAGGGTTTTTCGTGCTATAGGCCCCTTTCGGACTTTTCAAACTATGAGTGTTACTGTCAACGGCAATGCAATCTCTTATTAACACGGTCTGCTCCAGTTGTGGAGCGCGATTCGGTCGATTAAGTCATCTAGCTCGCGTTAGTCGTTACAACACTCGTGCAAACCTCGGAAAAAAATTAACGAAGCACTTGACGAGGAATTACCAGCGGTGCTGCACCGCGTTATGCATCTGGCCCTCGCTGTGGGAATGCAAAAGAACACGAAAACTGGAATTGAGAAGAATGTTATACTAATCTATATTTTTCCTTTCTCCGTGCATGGTGAACTGAATTTCACCGATATCGAATTAATATTCTCCGGCAGTGACAATTCGTAACCTATGGTACTTCTATACTATCAGAGAATTCTTTCGGTGATCTCAAGAATTATTCAGTCTGCGTGGGATACGTTTCCAATAATAATTTAAATTTCCAGTTATGTACTCACCCGCTATCACGTAATCGGGCGCCATCGTGGTTTCAAAAATTATTCGATTACTCCCGATTACATCTGCAAGGTGTTTTCATAGTCCTTCCGTGATAGAGTGGCGATTATTTCGATTTTCTAACAGCAACGGTATATATTTTCCCGTCTCTCCTTATCCGCAGAGTGAAACATAAAGCCAGGAAGAATTCCATTAAACGTTGCATCGAATTGAAAAAAATTCAATGAGGCCTTTACCTAACCCTTATTATGCTACAATAATTTTTGTTTAAAGAAAAGGCTCTTTCCTTTGATATGAATTTTTTTTAATTATAATTTTAAACGATGACGTAAAGGGTGTCCAGAGTTTATGTGACGCGTTTCCGTAATACAAGAAATGTAACGAGGAGCATGGCTGCTCGCACCAAAGTGCATTTAGATGATCGGGCGGTTATGCAACTAGCTTACGAGGCTAGTCGGTTAACTAGAGATAGCATGTTCGAAGAAAACTTAGGAAACCCCTTTCATCAGGATTTTAGCTCGACGAGTGGCTTCGTGGGGAGCGACGAAAGCGTCACCCTGCGAAGCCATCTCGTTAAGAAAAATGATTCGCTTGTTTATAGGGAAAAAATTCTGTATACGTAAAATACGAATAATTACCTTGAATTTGGGAATTCAAGAAATGCGAGAGATTCCTCTCGTGAGTTGACTCGGAGGAATTTGATAGCTTCGGTTGAACTTTGGCGACTCCGAAATGCTAGAGCCTTTGAAGTTTCGTGGAATTTTCGCTGATGCAGCGCTTCAATCTCATCTTTCGATGCAGGACCTCGAACATCGAGCTACTTCAAAAATTCCGAAAAATAGGAACACATGGACGAGAGCTTTTCCCTCCTCGGTACCAATCTGTAAATCAGAAAATCGTAAGTCAAGAGCCGTCACCGATGACCCTCGAAATGGACCCTTCGAACTCCAGGAATCATATCCAAAGTGCAAATATTCGATGGCTCAAAAATGTTAGCTACAAAATGGCCGCCAAAATTAAACCTTACGAAACCCCTTCCCTTCGTTTTCAGGGGAAACCTACGGAACGATGATTCCTGAGTGTAGTTACTTTAACGCGACGCAACCGAGTTAGTCTCATGGCGTAGGTATATTTAGACAGTCTACCGCCTGCTGTGGCAACTTTAGTACACCTCAAATCTCGCCGTTCCTAAATATATTTGTGCGACTGGAGATAAACGCGACCTCGGAAATTCGTTCCATCGAAATAATTATTTCCCTTCTTAATTAAAATTAAACGCGGCCCACCGTGTTCCCTAGTAGAAGATGCGCGAAGAGAAGAAATGATCTCCGATGCCATCGTTCGACCTGTAATTTCGTGCACCAATTTTACGCAGGTAAATTCTACACGTTACCGAAATATCGAGAATGGACGCGTTACCGTTTTAAAAAATACCTTGATGTGCGAAATTCCGAGTGAGACGAGTAAATCATCTTGCTTGGACCACGGTCAAGTGTTTCAAAAATAAGAACATGGCCGAACCGATTAAATTATCGAATTTCCCGTGACACTTGTCCTGCACTCAAACTCATTTTGAAAAAAATTGCACCTCAACTTCCAGAAAAATTCTGGAGAAAATGTACCCGGCAATTTCAGTCGGCCCAATGCACGGAGGTCCGACCCGAGTCAGAAGAGTCCATTTGATCCCTGCATGAAATCAAACCCTGACAACTCGCGTTTCATTGAAAATGGCCAAGATTCGTTGATTTTTGACAAATTGGGAGTTTCAGAATGTCAACTCGAGGGTTTTTCAATGCGAAAAGGATGGGAAGCTCGACGAGGTAGGGACCTCGAAGAACCCATCGGGATTGGATTTGGATTTTGCATTTATCCGCTATTATACGTATAGGACTGTCGCGGATGGCTTATCAGGCGTATTAAAGGTGGCTTATCCACTCACTGCACCGTGGAGGCACAAATTACCGGAATCACAGGTAGTGCACTGTTTTGGATAGGAATACTCAGCGGGAGCCGCACTCGGCACGCTCCCGACCCTCGGAACGTGTAGTCGGATCAATAAGGTTTACTGCAGCTGCGCTGGGCGTCGCGACGCGGCCTATCCCCGCTCCTACGCAGGCGTCCGTGCTTCGATGCATTTCCGATCGCCTACGCGCAGGGATGCGTCACTGCTGCAAGGATCGTCGCAACTTTGCCTTACTCCTTTGTCGACTAGGGTACTTTTGCCGACTCCTAGAGGAACAAGGTGTACGAAGGGATACTTCACATTTATTTTTATTTCTCGAGATACATGGCACATACAAAAACGTTAGGTAATAATCACAAGGGTTGCTTGAAATTTTACAGGACCACCATCCTTAAAATTGGTACGGATAGGCAAAAAATCACGAGCTAGAATTCCCGCGCGAGTGCTTCAGGGCATCGAGAAGGGGGAAAAGGGTTTCGTTTATCCCCTTCGAAATTTCCTCCCTCGACAAGCTATAGATGGGTTGATGAATCGTTCCACTGGAATTGTCTTCTGAAGCTCGTTCGGCATTCGCGTACATTTTTGACACGAGCTTCCGGATGTAATCGGCGATCTCTTTCGAATGACTTTTAACGCCGATGATTGCACTGTCACTTTTAGAGAAATTTCCATTCGCCTCTGAGTTATCGATTTTCGTTAGGTTGTCCATTCTTGTTACGTTTCCTTTTATTTCAGTGTCACGTCTTGTCCCGATGCTGATAATCGTTGAATTGTCGATTTTCGTTGCGTTTTCATTTCTCTCGTTATTTGTTTCTCCATTCGCAGTTGTCAAATTATTGCTCCTGGGTGTATTTTCATGTTTCGTAGCGTTATCATTTACATTATCATTTTCTATAGAGCCATTTCTCGATGCCGCGGTCTCGTTAATCGACAAACCGTCACTCGATGCCACGTCCGGTTTTATCGCATTGTCGCTTCTAGTCGTGTTGTCAGCTGTCATTAAGTTATCATCCCTCGTTACGTTACCGCTTATTCCTAAGCGAGTACTTCCTGTTGAGTTCCCTTCTACCCTCTCATTATCACTTATAGAAGTACCATGAAATATACTCGAGTTATCGGTTTTCATTACACCTTTCGTTATGTTTTCGCTTGTTGTAATATTTTCTGTCATTTTCTCGTTATTGATCCTCGAAATATTGTAATTTATTCCTAAATTACTATTTATTCCGCTGTTATTTTTCTCCATACCTCTATCAGTAGTATTATTGTTACTCCCAAGCAGTGTCAAATTAAGAACGTTTCCGGTACTGTCATTATTACGTAAATCTCTCTGACTCAATAAAACCCCCGAAGTGTTGTGAAAAATCGTCAATCCTGTAAAATTGTCCGCGATTTTTGCGGGTGTTCCAACAATGCCAGATAATTTTTTATGTTTAGTAGCAACATCGGAGGGAACGTCGATTGATGGAAAACTGAAATCTCTTGAGATTGGTTTATTATTGTTGAATAATGATTTAAATATATTCCCAATTGGTGTCATTCTGTGGGGCACATAACTCCAAGCGTCGGAGTTCCTTGGATTGTCGTGAAATGTTGGTGATAAATTAATTGGAGAACCCCAAGAATTTAAATTCGAGGTGTAAATGGCGTCACTTGGCGGGTCAAATGGCAGTCGGGGTATAAATTCTCTGTCATTAAAAATTGGATCAGAGTTCATAAAATTCGATGACGATAAGGGACTGGAGTTGTCGACGTGTTTTGTGTTTGATATTCTCCCCCTGGATTTTCCGTCAGTGACATTGACATCGAAATGTATCGAGACGGTCTCTCCAGACTTCCGTTTAGAATTAACTAAATTCGCGACCCAAGATCCAAATTCTTTGAAGAATTGAGTCGGAAATTCGAAGTTTTCCGTCATCGAGGAGTCCTCGACAGTACCGAAAGTCGAGCCATTTTTAAAAGAGGGAAAATGAAAACCGCGCGAGTCCTGGAAATTTTTAAAATAATCCCTTCTGAAGGAATCATTCCACGGAAATGGAAAATCAGAATCGGAAAAATTTGTGATGGCGTCCATCGACGGCTCTTCGAACTTTTTTCCAAGATAACTGTCATTGAATGTCATCGCTGGCTTTACAACATCCATGGAAACGTTTCCAATGATGCTCGAATTATTTATTGCCTCGGCTGTAGCAAGCACAGAAATGTTCGTAGTATTATTTTTCGGGAGAAAAGATAGTGAATAATTAATTGCATTAACGGGGTTGAGCAATTCATTCGACTTCGTATTGTTCGGACGAAAATCGCTGGATCTCCGTTTCCGACTTTTCTTGGATTTTTCGAGGAACGAGGCCCCAGGTCTACCCGACCTGTCAGTGGACTTTCCTGAATCAGCAGCCAGTTTGAAGTCCTTCTTCTTGAAGAGGGATTTTTTAAACGGGAAACTGAATGCTTTGCGGAGCTTCGCAAGCCTGGTGGAGCTCTTCGTCTTCTCTTGATCTGAATTTTTCGCCAATTTTTCAGCGGATCGTCGCGCCCTTCTTTTGCACCCTCTGCTGGTCTTCATCTCGGGCTTCCTCAAAGTCGAATCCAAGTCGCGGTTCTTCATCTTCTCCGCGACGTAGCCATAGAAATCCGCGACATCCAGCAGCGTCTTGCGATCCGGAGCCCGATCAAGAACGCTGCCATTGTTCCCGAATCCGACTTCTTCGGGAACCTCGTCGAAGGGTCCATTTCTCTCCTCAATGTGGTCTACCATATCTTTACAGTCCAATTGACCGTCCAGCCCTCTCGAACAATTGGAAGGAAAATCTTGGAGAGCTCTAGACTGACCAGGCTGATCGCCAACGATCGTTCTGGCCACTTTCCTGGTGGCAGGGAACGGATCCGCAGCATCCGATGCCAACGAGGATCTACGGTCATCCGAGAACCGACGACTCTTGTACAAGTCCTTCTCCTGGGTCAACTTCACCTCTTCGGCATCCGACCTACCGGCATCCTCGTGATCGGACCTCTTCCCCGACTCCCTGTATTTCGACATCTTCACCCTCTTCAAGATCTCCTCGAGGATCCCACCGTCTTTGATATCCCCGATAATCTTCTTCAGAAAATCGCTACCAACTACGACTTCCTCCACTTCTGGAGTGAGATTTCTGTGCACCTGACCGTATGGCTTGTTGACCACTTGGAAGAGCTTAACGTTCTTGAAGTCGGCCATCCTCTGAGAGTACCTCGACTGGTCCACAAGATCAGGGTGCATGCGTTTCCGTTTCGTGTGTCTGCAGAGAGCTGCTGGTGTGGACTGGATTTTTCCAGGTCTTGAAAAATCTTGCATCTCGTTGCCTTCGACCAGAGGATCCTTGTCGTCGACCGGGGCCATCAGATTCGGGTTGCCGTGCTGGGATTTGCTGCTCAGCTTAAAGCTGCAGATGTTGGAGGTCTCGGGCATCCCGTAGCCTTTTCCCGAATTTACATAAGAGGCCAATCGTCCAATGGCAACCGCTCGCGGTGTGCAATTGTTCATCCTTGATCCCACGATCGGTCTGTGATGGCTCTTCACCCTGTAGTAGGGCATCAACTGTTCGGTCTCCACGTCGTTAAGTTTCGCGTCTTCCCCAAGGTCTGTCCTATTCTCTATCAGGGTCCCCATGTCCCTTTTCACCCCATAGGCCCGATGGACCAGCTCGTTGGGGCTGGAGAACCCATTCTTACCGTTCTCGTTCATCTGGGAGTTGCGACCCCCCTGAGTTTTCGAACTTCTTGCTCCTTGTGCGGTTCTAGAATAGTGATTCGCGGTTTTTACCCGAGGTCGCAGAACTTTGCGGAGTACTGGAAGGGTTTTGCGCTTCTCCTCGAACGAGAGTTCCGGCAAAACCCCCTTCAGGGTCGACAAGCTCTGCTCCACCTTCGACGCTCGGTTCACCTTCCTGATCCTTTCCAGCTGTCTCCGGAAATCTTGGGTCAACTTGTCCACGTTTATGGTGTCCTCTGGATTTTCTGGGATGACCACGGAAATGATGTTCCCCACGTCCATCGAGGCCTGGTTCAAGACCATCGGCTTGCCTGGAACTGAATCCTCTGATCGTCAGAATACTTAGGAAAAAATTGTCACCTTCAAATCCTGGTTTCCCAGGGAAGGGAAAAAAATTCAGAAGCATTTCTAGGAGACTTTATACAAGGAATTAAAAATTCTCAATCGTTAGAATTTTTTCTAATGATTTATCTCACCAGTGACGGTACGCGTTTCGATGACGGCCAGGCAGAACATGGCGGTTCGCAGCGCGTGCCCAAGAAGAGTCATTTTTTTTTTAAATTGTCCCGAAATTACGAGAATGGTCACACTCGGTCCGTGATATCCGAAATCACTCTGCAAAGCTCCTTGAAATCGACCTATCGATTCCGGACTTCTAGCGATGTCGATCGTTCGGCCGACCGAGTCGAGCCTAACGAGCGATTCAAATCTCTAATCGAATTCCAATTAATCGCTTAACGGCTCGATCGTGAGGTACTTCGTCGGCCGATTGGCAAAATATGCCGTTTCCGTTTGAAAAAACCGATCGCCTCGATACGTCGACAAAACGGTGCTTCCTAGTTTATAACCCAAAGTCTCGACCACAAGTCGAAATGCCCGATTAATTTAATGACACTTGATTATTGCCTGATCCACTTTTGCTGGTTTCCACAATTTTGCTAAACGAGTTAACAACTCCTCCATTCGTAATACAGTTTTGTTTCATGTAATACGCAAATTTATATTAGATAAGAAATCGGGAATTAAAAAAGAATCGAAGTATTGGAGAAAATCTCGAAAAATTCACGAATCGGCTTAAGAAAAATGTCGAAAAAAATGTTTACTCCATTCCTGCAATTTTTCTGCACTCCTGGTATTTTATCATTTAGAATGATGCGTCGAAATGATAAGAGATAATTCTCTGCCGCATCTTCCGAGCATTCCGTCAGCGAGCAGAGGTAGACCGCCAGATGGCGGATCATGATCCACCATCGCCGCACCAGAGGAGGCATTACCATCCGAGTCAACAATTCCGGCCCCCAAGTTTCGGCTCGGTTCACCTGTGCCTACAAAACTCTTATGCCTAGTAAACATGCTCCAACAGTTGGCCAACCGAGTTTGTCGCCATTGTGACGGAACGAAGCTCTCGTCGGCTACCACGGAATCTGTCATTCTTGACAGTCGAGGCCGTGCTTGAAATTCGGTGTTTGTCCAATTTTTTTTTTTTCTATATCTTCCGGCAAGAGACCTCGTGTCTCGCGTGGCACGATCCACGCAGTCTTATCACTCTCCGCGGGACGTATCACTTCTGACAGCCAAGGTTTACCTCTATTCCGCTCTCACGAAATTAGAGTCTCTATTTATTTCATGATTATTACCGAAAGGATGACATAGGTCAAGACAATATTGCACGGATTTATTCATGGACGCTATTTTGAATGTTTCATTTACGCAAAGTTTGTTCTTACGTCTATTACGTTTCTGAAAAAAAAAAAAAGTTTGTGTTCTGTAATCATCAGAGCGTGCGGAGTACAGTTGAACTCACGGTGACAGAAGCGGTCACGGTAAAACAGCCTTACCTACGGTAATGATTGCGTAACAAGTCTCTTCTTCACGGAAGCCCCACACATCTCTTGGTTAAAAAAAAAAAACGACGTGTCGAACGAGTCGCACAATATCTCCCACCTTGCTCATGGTTCAAGGACCGCAACCGGCACGGTCGGTTGCAAATTACAAGAAGAATACGAGCGCCCAGAGAGTACAGGTAATTGTTCGAGTATTCGGTACCCGAGGCTTCGGCTGCCTCCGGAATATATTTACAGTCGGAAAAAAGAAACGGATAAAAACGCGTCTGCAGCGCCGGCCCTCGCTCGGGATGAGCATTAAAGGCTATTCTTCGGGCGCATGAAAGTGCACATTCAGAACGTTTCGCGGCATTGAGTGTAGAATTTCAGTAGGACTTTTAATAAGCTTGGGAACAGTACCTCGGTTCACGCATTGATGCCGCAATATTTAACAAGCTCGCGGAGGATTTTCCATTGAAATCGTGCTTCGAAAGTGGAGAAGAAAACAGGTGCCTCGCGGTTGAGGAAACTGGACACTCAATTCCCGTATAAAGGAGATATCTTTGGGCCGGTGGATATAAATAGCTTATCGTAGCTTCCTTTCCTTTTCCGAGAGAAATGGGTACGGTTTGATGAGATCTTTGGTATCGTTATGTCATTAAGGTATCAGATCCTAAAACCTCGAATTTGACGTTTTCTGTCGTTTAGATGTCGCTTATCCGCGACCGCGGTAGTAAACCCCGCTTGACGGTAGATTTCTCCAGGTCGGTTGGCTCGAAGAGAAGATTCCTTTAAAAGGCTCCTGCCGGAGAGGTAGGTGACCGAATCGAGTGGAGGGGTGAACGATAACAGGTCCGAAGGAACAAGTGGAGGTGCGGTAAATGCGGCAAACGGGAAAGCTGGTTCGTTTCAGGGCAAGTCGACTTGCCCAAGGTCTTTTCGGTCTACTTTAGGGAACGAACACCATTTTGGTGAGCGAGCATTCCACGACTTGTCGCGACAATTTGCCAAGTTGCAGCTCGGCGCGACTTCTAGGACGAGTTTCCCTCCTTGCTCTGGATTTTCGCACTCTCTCTTTCGGGATCGCCGGGAAGTCTGGTTAAACGCGACTATGTGGACGGTTTTGATAATCTTCGGAGATCTTCCCCTTGTTTCTATCAAATTAGGCAGCCTTGACTTGGTCTAGCGAATCCTGGAGGGAGTAAATACCGGTTTGGGTTCATCGTTCACCTTACACCTGCATTATCGTTATCATTAGAGATACACACTGCATATGCTCCGTTCTTTAAATATTTACAATTATTTTTTATTATCGGCTTACGTTCTGCTACCTTCGTTTAGAACGGGAAGTCCTTAGGGCAAATGGTATCAAGCAGTTACTCGATTAGATTCCGCGGAAAACGACATTCGGCCAAAGTTTGCGATAATCAAGGCTTGACCGTTTTCGAAAAAAACATTTACACAGCTCGATATAAGAGGTGCAATAATGCTGGGATATCATAGCTTATTGCGGACTCTTTAAACGCGTATAAATTATTTCTAGAACCAATTTGCTTGCAGTTCGGACAATTTGAAGTCACTGTTGTACAAACTCTAAACCGACCCTGACATAGTAGCCGAAACAAAATTAATCTTTCACCAGAAGAAGAGAGCACCGGGATACGCGAGCAAACAATCTCTTTTCAAAGACGAAAAAAAAGAGACGATATGCTTCGTCTCTCCGTGATAAAGCCTAGGGTGCGAACAGCGGACGTAGAAGTTGCCGTCACGCCGGTTTCAGGGGCAAACTCCAAAGGTTACGTCGATGGACGCAGAGAAGTCAATTGACAGGCCATTATCGGTGCAAAGTGGATTGGGGAGTATCTAATCTACTCTCCTCGTTCTCGCGAAGAAAGCAAGGCTCTTCTTGGGAGGCGACGAGACGGCTTCGGATACATACTCTCCGAGAAATGGCTCGTCGCGTTATCAGAGGGGCTCGGTCCCGACAATCTCGACCTCGTGACGATGCGCGGACGTTTATCATCGCGAAAGGCGGGGGTCTATCGATTCCGCTCGGAAATTTCATCGAAAACCGTTCTCCGACCTGAAAACCTGCATCCAAACAACTCGGCTTCTGCTCGGTCACCGTAAAACCTGCAGGTGCACGCAATTAAGAAAAAATTGTTCTGAAGAAACCAGTGAATGTCGTCAACGGCTCGCTTAACTGATTTGTTTTTACGGTTGCATGATTAGACACGCAAAATAACCAAGCAAAAGGGTTAATTTAGTTCAATTTGGTGCGGTTGGGCCGAAGGCGGCCGGTGGACGCGCAGTCGGCCGATCTCGTGGGCGGTATTGCGCAAATATACGTTGCGGTTTGTTATCGCGGTCATTTTTGCAGCGTCAACGACATCGGCGGTGTGGGGGGAGACGTGATTGTGCTTGTTACTCGAGTGAAGTGCTCTCACGGAGTCAAAAGTCAAGAGGGAAGGGCGTTTCGTGAGAATCCGCGCGGCAGGATTCATACAAACCCTGAACACTGCCGAGAGAGCGTCGGAGAACTCTCGACGTTGACGAGACCAGGAAAAGACGTTCGATTCGCCTCCACTCGACATGGCCAAATTCGCCAGGACCTCCCAGAAGCTGCTCCTGGCCCTGGAAAATGGGGCCAAAATCCGGGGACATCGCAGATGCGTCTCCAATCTGCCGCGCGTCAAGATCATCGATGGGACCAGCGGCGAGAAAATCATTCCCTCTCCTTATGGGTCCATTCCCATCCCCGAAATGCCGGTTCACGAGTACACCTGGAGGAACTATACCCAATATGAAAATAAAATAGCGATGGTGAGTGAAGGTGCTCTCACTGAGCTGGGATTTTATTAGAAATTGCAACATTTTACTAAAGCCCGGGAAAAATTGTTTGAAAAATATTCCTTGTCGAGTTGTGGTCAAGGGGCAGGGTGGATAGATGTGTCTTTCAGTTTGATGCAAGAATTGCAATGCATAATTCACGAAGCCAAGTTAAATGTTTACGGTTCGGCCGGCTGAAAGCATTGACGTTGGGTGCATCAGTCATGTCTGTCAAAAGTTTGCCTTGAAATTGTTTGCAAAGTATGGCGACGGGGAATGCGCCTCGTGACGAAGAAAGCCGCGTGTTAATTACAGGGCGCCATTAATTATTCATAAGGAAGCTCTCGGAGCTTTGCGGAACTCCGGGGAAGAATAATTCTAAGTAGAAACTTAAGTTGCGCTGGAAGTTCGGTACGTAAACGTTGCATTTTCATATTTCATTGGAATCGGCAGTCGCATATCTCCGGTGGGGACTTTTAAAACTCCCCGAAATTTCCATAAAGAACTTTGGCGTTATTTTTTAATTGTCTTTCTGGAGCTTCGGATGGCTAAGTTTCTCCAAAAACTGGCAGCTCTGGAAATTTTCGGTAACATTTTGCTCGTAATTGTCCATTGATTAACGAATCATTTTTTTTCCCCGCAGGAATGTGGGGCAACGGGGAGAAAATACACCTATGCCCAATCAAGGGACTATTCGAACTACGTGGCGAGAAGTTTATTAAATATGGGTCTAAAAAGAGGAGATGTCATTGCCATAATTTTACCAAATATGCCAGAACATGGAATTTCGTTTCTGGGAGCTTTGGAGGCTGGTCTGGTCGTGACTACCGTCAATCCATTTTACACAGTTGGTGAGTAAAGAGTTTTTTATCGTACGTGAATAGAATAAATTTTTCTTATTTTTTTGCGATAAATCAGTTCAGGTAATAACCATGACTCGCGGAGACTGCGGCGAGACGTCCTTTATGTAACGGTCGACCGTAAATGTACAATTTGGAATTATGGAAGTCACGGAGTAATTGCGGGTTACAGAATACGAGAGCAAATTGATAACGTTATCAGCACACGGTTCAAACGGACCGATTTGTATCGTTAAGGATAAGATCCTCGTAACGAGAGCGCAGGCGGTCGAGAGTTTCCCATAAATTCTCTTATCGCTTTGGTGGGTCATAGTCGATACCGGCGTGATCGATCATAGACGCACCAAATTGATAAATCGTATTTTTGAATCATACATTTATCTGCAATAAAAAAAAAAGATACCGGAGAGTAAAGGTGCGCGGAACGTCGTGTACTTGTTGTAATACGCTGTTTACATGCCATGCCCACAGTAATTGCAAATTCGTTATTTAATAGCCGCGCTAGATAATCGTACAGAATTTAATACCGCGATAAATCGGTAATCCAGTGAAACGGATTACGCTGGGCAAAGGTACGCGAAGAGCACGTATCAGTAATTTGAAAAAACATTTAATTTCTTAATCTTACCGTAATCAAGTAATGACTCATTCGTTGCCAAATAAATGCATGAATGATTTAATAAGTTAAATCATTAATTAAACGGCTTATTACTATCCTTATCATATCGGTATGTCGCTCAAGCAATATTTCATATATTTCAGGGGACACGCAGGGATCATCCCTGTCCCTCCCAAAACTGTACCTTAAGTGAGCTGAAAATCGACTTGCACCCTACAAATTCATTCTAAAAACTCTGTAAAAAAAAACAATCGAAATCGACTCGTACCTTAATTCATACCTTCTGCCAACGTCGGTCCACTATAGTTCAGTGAGTCGGTCTAAGACGTCTAAGAAACCGAAGCTGCGACAGGTGCACGTCCGTACCAGAGGGATCAATCCCTCGGCGGAGTAAATTGCATCGAATTGGTCGTTCCCGGTAGTTTCTTCGGATTGAAAAAAAGGAATGGCAATTTCCAGGCGAAATCTCGAGGCAGTTAATTTCCTCGGACGCGAAGGGTGTCATCACGAGTGTGGAAATCGCCAATACGGTCCTGGAAGCTGCGAGTGTCCTGAAGCCAATTAAAGCTCCCGTAATAGTGGTCGACGATGGCACGGGGCCTATTCCCGAGGGAGGGATACCATTCCAGGTAACTTCATTTTGTTCCTGATCGACGAGGGCCACGAGCAGTGATTTTCCGGATAGGTCCTAATTTTTTTAATAATAATTTTCAACTTCAAGGATTTGATCGAGAAGGGTAAATCTCTGCCGGCCGTGCCGCAGTATCCGTGGTCACCAAACAGCTTGGCAGCTCTACCTTACTCGAGCGGGACCACTGGCCTGCCAAAAGGTGTCATGCTGTCGCACATGAACCTCGTTAGCAATATCGAGATGATGGAGAATACAATAGGCCAGGAAGCCTGGAATCCCACCACAGGTAGAAATCCGAAGGGAGGAAAAAAGAGGAATGATTTAAAATCTCAGGAAAATGAGACGATCCGTAATTTCTGTTAATGGTCCCTTTCAGATACCTTCCAAGAAGTGATGCCGACCGTTTTACCACTTTTCCACATTTACGGGATGAACTCGATAATGTTGCCGCGATTGGCGGCCGGCTCGAAGCTGGTCACTTTACCGAAATTCCTGCCAGAGCTTTACGTCAGCGTTTTGGATAAGTACAAGGTCCGGAATGATGCAAAAGATTGGAGTAAAAAATCGACGAATTCCAAACTGAAACGACAATAAAAAAAGAATGACATTTATCGGTTTGCAGGCTACCGTATTGTTCTGCGCCCCGCCGATCATCCTTTTCCTGGGAATCTCTCCGCTGGTAAAGAAACATCACTTGGAAAATGTCCACAGTGTCATCAGCGGAGCTGCACCCATTGGCGATGGTGACGTCCGTCGATTTTATGAGAAATTCCAACTGGATAAAAGTAAAGTGTCATTTTACCAAGGTAAGTCAAGAGTTATTATCCGTTATAAAAGTAAAATGCTCGTAAGAACGTAGGGCTCGGAACGTTAATTAAAAAAATGAAAAACTTGGTAGTGTAGCCTGTACTTGAAATAATTCGGGAACGAAATTTGTATCTAATTTTGCATATTCAATCACGTTAAACGCACCGACTCATGTTGCTCGCGCAAACAAATTTTGCAATTCAATCAAAGACACGGCATTAATACTCCTCCAAGAACTTTGCATGCACCTAAGGCCGTAATGTAAATAAAGAATGGTTTATTCATTTACTGATTGATTTATTTCACTTTGAGAACGTTCTATAACTTCTAGGCTACGGTTTGACGGAGACGTCTCCCGTGACTTTCCTCGAGAAATCCAGTAAGAAGTTCAACAGCATCGGCAGACCGATCTGTAACAGCGAGGCGCGATTGGTGGACCCCATCACGAATAAGGACGTGAAGGCTCCGAGAGAAACCGGCGAATTATGGGTGAGAGGGCCACACGTCATGTTGGCGTATTACAAAAACGAGAAGGCTACTCGGGAAATCATCAACGAAGATGGTTGGTTAAAGACCGGGGACCTTGCCTATTACGATGAAGAATTCGACTTCTTCATCACCGACAGACTGAAGGAACTTATCAAGGTGAAAGGATTCCAGGTAGATTTCCAGTGATTTTGGGTACCGTAACGCAGATTTGAGGTTGACCGAAATTGAGAAAATTTTTTGAAAACGCTTAGGTGCCTCCTGCTGAACTGGAAGCCCTCTTGAGAACTCATCCAGACATTGAAGAAGCTGCGGTAATTGGCGTGCCGGACGAGAGGTGCGGAGAAGTGCCTCGTGCATTCGTCATGAAGAAAAAAGAAAGCAAACTGACAGAGGAGGAAATTCAGAATTTTGTCAAGAAACAAGTGGCCGAATTTAAGCAACTCCGAGGTACGTCGACTTTTATACCGAATTATCAAAAAAGAGATAAACGTCAAATTTTCTATTTATTTTAGGAGGAGTCGTATTCGTCGACAACATTCCTAAAAACCCGTCTGGTAAAATACTTCGGTCGAAGCTGAAGAGTGAATACGTGAAATGATGCTGCGAAGAATGACCGGAAAGGTGTCATTAGATGCATCGAACATCGTCGGAAAAATTTCGGCGAGATATCCCTGCAGGATGTTTGAAAGCGCCGTGACGTCCGCTAAATTTCAAACACAATACTTTGTAAATATTAAATATATGTAATCGGGTGGATGTATTGTAAGGTCGAATGTGTGCAATAACGTCATGATGTGTTAATTTATGTACCTTTTGATGATACTAAACTAGAATTTGTAATTTAAGTCTCATAAACTGAATGCCCATTTTATCTGCGGAGGTTTCGCGCATTTATAATACAAATTACGTTTAACAAAAGGTCTCCGAGCCTGCCAGTTTTTATTATTTAAACAAATTCAGTGCCTCGTTGCCTCCTTTGTAAAATGCGTAGGTATAATAATAATTTTCATACCTTGTAATTAACCCGAAAGGTCTGGAAATTCACTTTTATTATAGCGGAACGTCCCTTTTAAAATTCATTTCGCTCGAAGGAGAAAGAAATTCTAGACGGAAAATCCCATGTAATGATCTCAGCCATGTTTTATTGTTCCCGACAAGGCAGCATTAAAACCGACTGTTGCTTGCGTGAAAATTGCGCTCGAAAGGAGCCTCATGAGCCAGGAGAAGGAAACTCCGCGATATCCACGTCCGGAAAAGTCTCGCCTCTCAGAAAGAGAGTTTACCCGAGTGTTCCCAGTAATGAAGACGAGACGTCATGGTACACGTTTAATTGCGCGGTAATTATAATTAGTTAAACTCGACAGGACGGCGCGAGCTGGTTCACGTGCCTGTTTTTTGGAGCAGCAGACGTCGGTAATTCTGGAGAATTTCTGCATTTTCAGTACAAAAGAGAACCAACGAACGCACAACTAAGACTCGGGACTTAAACGTTTACGACTCTGCTGCGTTCAGCTGTCGCATTTTAATTTTTTTTTTATAATTCTTTTTAAGAGAATCGTGCCTTGATTACGCCTCGGCGTTCTCGAGGTAATTGCACCCGGACGAGATTGCGAGACCCAAATGTTTCACAGGGGGTAGCTCCGTGTCGAAATTTTCGACATTTTCATTTCAAACGCAACTCGAGAACACCGCGGTTAAAATGCATCACTCATTAAGCCGTAATTATTCATCACGGTTGCGTCCAAAAAATAATTTTTCTCCGTTTGCGACAATATCGCCGGCGATGATACTTGGGCGCTCTCGTCGGTAATTGCGCCCGGGTGAGAACTCGAGGAAGGGCGGCTTTGTGTCTGGATTTCTGGCCGACGATGACGCGCCGCGACGCCGGCTGCGAAGACGAGGAAACCGGGCGGAAAAACGAGAGTCGGTGGCACGGCGAGGGTCTGGCCGAAAAAGGAAATGAAAATTCATAAAGACCGAGGGTGTAATTAGTTTACGGGATCAAAGCGGGACTCGTGCGCCACCTAATTAGTCCACTGGGGCTCCGATGAGTGCCAAAGAAGGCGTGGGATTAATCATTAACGGAGGGGGGCGAAACCAGATTCGCGTCATACCTCGCTACCGGCTCTCTCTCGAATGGCTTTACACCGGTCTGGCCGACGGAATTGAGGAATTGAAAAGGGCGCCTGTTTACGCTTTTCCTTTCTCTCGTATTCCATTGAAGAATGCAGGGAACGAAAAGTTCTCAGGGATTCCAATATGGCGAAGCACGGCTCTCTCGGCGGGGATTTACGGGAGTTTCCGTTGTTTATCGACCGTGGATCGCCAAGAATAACGTATTTAAAGCAGGTCGCCGGCATACACTCGTCAGGTTCCCCACGATAAATCACCGCTCGAATATTAATTCGAAACCCCGGCTCCTTTTTGCTCTATGGGTAGGACGAGACGATCGCCAGCGGGACGTGCGAATTGAAAAATGGCGGCCACTCCGACCTCCTGGTTCCGGCACCGCAATTTCCTGAATTAATTTCACGGAGACCCCAGTCTCGAGGGGTCCACGGATCCCCTCTTCGGGAGGGCAAATTCTGGACCTAACCTAACCTATAAAAATTTACCGCTGGCATCAAACCCGGGAAGAAAAGAGTCGAAACGGGCGACTCCATGTCTCCGTGTATAAATGATTAATTTATTTATTCGCGTCGCCCGTGAGGGAGCGAGATGCGAAAAGTCGTTTGCAGCATTTTGAAGGCACGTTTTCCGCCAAGTGGACGCCGATAGCGCAATCGATGGGGCGGGTAAATCAGCAGCCGAGGCAGAACGAGGATGATAAGGGCCGGTGGAGGCGGATCGGAGGCATCTGAGTGGGGCGGAATTTAGTAGGGTGGTGGTCAACGGGTTAGAGGGTCGTCGTGACGCCGGGGAGGACCTAGAAGAGGTCGCCAGTGGTAGCCGTTGAATAAACTATGAGGACAGTGACACGAACGAGGAGGTAGGTGGTTGGACGCTGGAGCGTTCTATTTTTGCGCCCGCTCAACTTCCACGTTCTTCGCCGTGTTAAACGGCGCGCCTTTCTTTTCTTCGATGACTCTTCTTCGGAGCTGGACAACGGAAACCGGGCAACGGCCCTTCCGGAGACCCTCTTTCGGCCAGGCGGAAACAAAGGACCCGCCATGGCCTCGTTAGGATGCTTTTCGTCACTTGGCCTCAAAACTGTCCCCACGTTTTGCCTCCGGACCGGTCGTTGATGTCGTTTCGTTCCTCGCGCCTGTTAAAGATCTCTAAGAAGAAATTTTATTTAGAGGGCGCAAATAAAATTTCTGGAGCACGATTTGGAGGTGGAGGAGAGATTCTCCGAAAATTCGAGGTCGTGCCCACGTCCGCGGGGAGAAAGCAACTCCAGGATTGTACGTCCGGCAGCACGTCGGAGCTTTTTTGTTCCCGAGTTCACTAAACCTCCGCGCCGGTTAATTGGCGCGTTTTCCTCTCGCTTTTCTTTTCTCCCACCTCTTTCTTCCGGCCAGACAACGGAAACTGGACAACGGCCGTCCAGAAGGCTCCTCGTTCCCTCTGTCCGTTCCAACAAACTCTCGACGACTCTAGGCCACGGGAACAAAGGACTCGCTTATCAACTCGTTCTTATCTCTTGCCGTGACTCCCCGATGCCTCGAAAAAATCTCCCTCCGTACTCTTTTTCTCATTAGGGTATTCCAGAAGAAAAGGAACGCAAAATGTCCTGCCAAAGATTTTTTTCCAGCGACAGGATATGTACACATTCCACGGTTAGCTCAGCACATTCCATTGGAATGAAAACAGCGAGGGGAAATTAATTTCATTTATGCCTTGTACCATTAGCATTATTCTTTCATGGAATTCTGGGAGCCACACTTTCCATTTGGCAAAGTGCACCGCGCGAATGTATATTTTTTCTTTCGAGGCTGAAATAATTTCGTTCCACTTGATGCGCCATAATTGCTCCCCGTAGCTCGGTGCGAATCGCGAGCACGTACATATGATTGCGGCCTACGAGAACACTTCGAAAATGCATTTACTCGCCAAGCGAAGTGTGTTATCGAGTTTAACAACCCGGCGAGAGTACCGTTTATCTTCCGAATAAAGTTTCCGCCGTCGTCGGAATCAAACATCGATCCGTTCGAGTGATTTCTTCTCGACTAGAGTCGATTTGCTTCGCCCTGAACGTCTCGGTGCACTCTGACGGTCCAATGTCGTATTTCTTATCGGCAAAGATGCAAAAGATAAAAGAAGGACACAGCGTCAATTAGTTTCATAAACACCGAAGGGGGAAATTTAATGTTAATTAAATTCTAGTTCGCCGCAAGTTTGCGAATCGGTGCCATCCTTGGGGGATTGGGTCCCGATTGGTCACGTAATTTATTGGTTTTTTACGTTTCTTGTGGTAAATTATTTTATTTTCGTAATATACGTTGAAAATTTGGAGTGAAGAGAGTAGAAGGGATATTTTTTCCGGCAGTCTGGAGCCTCCCGACCGCCCGCTCGGTCTTTTCGGGGTTTTCCCGGGTCCGAGCCGTCCGTACGGGGGTGCTCGGTCGCTCTCGTTGTCTCTCTCCCTCTTGCTGCGCCCGCCTTGCTCCGTCCTCGTCTCGCCGTGGCGCCACCGCGGCGGTCCACGGCGGCGCTGCGCGGCACACACCCACCGGCGTAGCGGCGAGACTCGGCGAACCTGCCCTCAGTCGTCCGCGCACCCTTGAACGGAGAGGGTCGCCAGTTCGTGACTTCCGCGCTGTCTACGCTCTCTGCGCCCTCCACGCACCTCTCCCCGGCTGAATCCAGAAGACACCACGAGTGCCGTTCGTCGGGAGGCTGTCTACCTCTAGTCACGAACTATCAGCCCCTATCAACACCCTTCGACGGTATATCATCTGACTCTGAACGTTCGCCGACTATTCTTGGTTTTCTTTGAGTCTTGCTGTCTTCGCGAGGAAATGAAGCGAAACGATTCTGGACCTGTTTGCGATTTTAGGTTAGGTTCGCTTTCCTTCCTCTTTCTAAATTACGAGTTTCTCAAAATGGAAGGAAATATTCTCTGTACAAGTAGAAATGGAAGTTGAGAAATTCTGGTTAGACGTGTATTTTCGTAGTATTTTATTGCGAAGAGAATGTGCGATTACCGTGGATATATTGTGCGAGGCTCGAGGGTGCCGATTGAGTCGGTCATTGCGCAAAAAGCACCGGTGCTCGTTTGAAGTTGAAAACGAGGGCTAATTACGGAAGTACTCTTCGGGAAAAGTCGGTGCCTCGGCCCGCGTTACGATAATATTTCAAGAATATCGTAATTTCCATTTTACCTTGGGACCGACCCCGGCAAGCGATAACTCGAAACTTTTATCAACTTAACTTTCCATTGGGGAAGAGTTCATTCCCTCGGGTAATTCCCGTTTAAACGTATTGGTCGCTGCCTGGCCAACTTTTTCCCCAAACGAGAATTACTCGGAAAAACGAGTTTTCGAGGTACTCCCTAGGTACAATGATCCGACGTCGTCGACCTTTTGTCGTTCATTACAATTACCCTGACTTCCGTCCAACCTCTGATTACTTACCCGAAGACTGGAGTCACTATTTACAAACCGAAGGATTTAGTTCGCCTATTTTTTTTTTCCCCATTCCTCGCTCCGTATTTATTTACGTTCTGCGGTTCGCTCGAAATAAGTCAGATAAATCTCTCCATTTCCTTTGCGGCTGGCAAGAGATACATTGAATAAAAGTTGCTCGCTTCGGGGGGAAAATAATTTGCGAGAGGGAAAAAATTGTCTCGATTCCCCTTTCCCGGGGTTGCTAGTTGATCTTTGTCCTTATTCTTCATTCTTTTTCCGCGCGGCTAATGGTCGACTGCATTTATTTGCCCATGTCGCCACCGATAAAAGCGTATTACTTTTTCTACTCGGGAATTCTTTTTTTATAAATTATTTAATTCGCCTCGGTCCGCCCTATTTTCGAGGAAGTCAGCAATTTGGAGCGACTCGCGTGGTGTCGGATCGACTTTTGTTAACTTGTAAAATTAAGATAATTGCTTATCCATGTTAACAGCCGATAATTCTTCGAAACGGTCGATTCGATACGTGCGCTGGAAAAATAAATTATAATCTTTGGCCGTTCTCTCCAATTTGCATCCGCATCGGAAATGCACGCGAGCGCACTCGCATAAATTGCATAAGTATTGAAAGCATTCATAACCGCGAACGCGATAAAACGGAATAGGTCATTTAATTCCGCTCGTCAGCATTATTTCTTTAGGGCCTGCGTTTCGCATTCCCATTTTGATTCTCGAAAATTTTCCCCTTCGCGCAAATCGCGCTGGAGTGGTTCCGCTCTTTAGATTAATTTATCGTTCCAGGCGGAATTATTTCTCGATCGGTCGATTCTTTTTTTTTTTTCGTCGAAGTTCTGTCGATGTGGTGCCCATAGGTCAGTTTGTTCGCGGTATTATTTTTTTTCCCCCAACCATTCAATTTAATTTTTCGCTTTTTCCGCACCTCGATTCGGCCCTGTCGCGCAGCGAGTTTCGCCGCCGAAAAACTCCCGAGGGATACCGCATAATTGAACCACTGTACACCAATTCTCCGGAGCAAGTAACCTCGGCACATTTCGAATCCCCCGAAAAATGTTGAGAATCTCGCCCGATCGAGTTGGGTCTGCCGCGATCTATCGATCATTTGCCGGAATCCTCATCCATCAGACTCGCCTTCGTGCCCCCTCGACGTATTTCGTGCTCTCTCTCTCTCGGAATTATTTTTTTTCCATTGAGAAGGCAAACCCTCGATCATCTCTAAGACGTAGGAAAATTGTTAGAAATTTATCTGAAATAAAAAAAGAATAACCAGGGGATTCGGGAGGATTTTTCCAAGCATTCCGCAGGAACATTTGGCGCCTTCTCTCCTCGCTATTTTAGTAGCTTATTTTTTTTTGTCGATTTCACAGCCGGCGAATAGCGCGAATCGAGCTCGCTTGTCATTCGCTGCGAGTCAGGCAGTAATTTGCATAAATTTCCCCCTCACCCCCCGGGCAGGAAATTAAATTGAACGTGAAGATTTCGCACCCCCCTCGGTTGACACGATCACTCCTGAACGTCCTCGCCTGCACCTCCCTTCGTTTCTGGCGAATCGAAAGGCAACATTTTTTTCCTATTTCCCTTTTCGCATTTTTCTTCCCCCCTTTTGTCCCTCGCTCTGCGAATCCCCACGGCTCGTTAGTCGGCGCACGGTCGAAAGGTGCACAATTTCTATTGACAATTGCCTCGCAAACGCGCGCTCTCGCATTGTCCGCGGCCTGCAATTCGCCCGCGAGTTGTGCGAATGCACTCGGTTGCATTTTGCGAACAATCCTCCGCGGGCTGTTTTCTCGTCTATCCGGGCGAGAGTGAACCGCGAATAGGAATATTTTTTGTACGCAGGCCGTGAACACTGCCATACCTAATTGAGGCAATTAACGGGGAGGGGATAAGGATGACGAACGCTTAAATCGCGTTTAATTGGACTAGGCGATACCTGTAGTATCTCCTTCGCAATTACCGATGCCGATATCCCAGTCACCGGTTTGCGTTAATATTCGCGACGCTTCGATCATTAATACTGCTCGTATCACCGAAATAACGCATTGATGGAATGTACTCCGCGCAAGGAATTTTCATGTAAAATTAAATGCATAACGTTCTACATGTGGGTCGAACAGAAAATTAGGAGAGCCGTATAAATATCTAAGTGGGCGCGTTTTGGGGGGAGGTAATGGACGCGGGCGAGTAGGTGAACCAGCTAATTGAAATTTCTCTTGCGGGAACCGCGAGGGTGGGCGACGGCGAGACCGAAGGCTTGGAAGTATCACGAGGAGAGGGAGAAACGTGCAAAAGTGGCCGAAAACCGAAAGGCGGGGTAATTCGTGGATAAAGTCGGGGGTCTCTAAAGGCGCCGTGGGAACGGAGGGTGTGAGGAGGCGGGTGGGGGTGGAGGAAATTCACTGAAACGAGTTTTCGCCGATGATGAACGATGCCACTCGGATGTGGGTGCTTCTCCACCTCCTGCGGGATTCCTTGCCATTTGCTAATAAATAAATACGCCCTCGGCCGGGGGGAATCCCGGAGGACGTGACGGGAACGCCGGGAGCGCAGGAAAGTAAAGCCGAGTTTACATTGCGCCGACTCGATGTTGCCGGGGCTCAATATTGACTGTGTACCGGTCCTGAATAATTGAAAGCGAAACTTACCTCGTCGAAAGATACGACAGTGTCGGCCGGGTCGCGAATCGTCGCCATTTTGCATGGACTCTTTGAGCGCGACCCGAGGAGACTGCAGGAGTTTTCCGCGGATGGTGCCGGTGAGTTATTTCGAAATCCGCGGGTGGAGTCGCGTCGATTCAACATCTGAGATGTACTTGCGGTTTATAAATGCCTTGTATATTTTTCTTCCTCCCGAATGATTGCGTTCTTCCCTACACCTTCCGGCCAGGCCTTCGGGAATGCAGGAAGAGGACCTCGAAGCCGGACACCGGACGACAAAAGACTTTGCACGCGGTCGCTTCAACGACCACGTCGAAGAGTCCTCCGGTGGTTGCGGCATTAATTAAGCCACGATTAATTCGCGAAAACGCGGCAAGCTCCTTTGAGGCCACCCCCCGGGGGAACGAGGAGCTAATGCAGGACCGACCGGAAGCGAGGGGGTCCTCTTTCGCCACGCTACCCTGCGAACGCGGAAGTGCCCTCCGCGTTTATATCCCCTTTTAACGCCGAGCCTCGGGACGCGAAGGGGGAGGGCCTCCACCCTGTGTTTTCCCTCTCTTTTCTAGGAACCCGAAGGACTGCGAGCTCGAAACAAAGCTCGAGCTTGCATAAGGCTAACGAGCCACCCGAAGCACGTTGCTGCTTCCGGCTTCTCGATTAAACCCCTCGCCCTCCAACTTCAGCTCCGTTGTTTTTCGCTAAACGGCCGCGACTTGGGTCGTGGGGTGTGTTGCTCTTTTTCGGGGAAGTCGGTAAATTTTTCCGCGAGCTTCTGGAAAGACGTCCTGCCCGTGGAGGCTTAGAAGGCGATGCCCCGGGATTTTTGCAAGCGCTTCAGCCCTGGATTCGTTTGCGACTGCCCGAGGGCGAAGAGACTTTGTAGTAAATAATCCGAAGACGAGGATGTGTCACCCTTCATTTTGCTATTTTTTTTCTCCCCCTCGTCTCTCCTTTTTTTCTCGCTCCTTCGTGGAGTCGCGCGGAGACTTCTTTTTTTTTTCCGGCTGAAATATCGCGCGTCAACGAACTTGTCGGCGGAACTTTGCCGAGGTCGCCAGTCGAGAGCTTCCGGTTTGCTCTTCGTGACGTTTCCCGAGGTATCGCCTACACGAGGTGTATCTCCCCGGTCTTTGCCGCTTCGCATTTGCGGAAAGCTCAGGAAAATTCTCCGTCCCTTGACGAAAAGCTCGCCGCGTCGATCAGGGAAATGGATGGGACCAATAAATCGAGCGCGGGTTCTCCGGACCGACGAATTGGTCCCGAGCTTTCCGTTTTCGGTCTGGAAGGTTTTTCCGAAAAGCTTTTCCGCCTGTGGAAGCTTTTCGAGACCCGGGAGGGCCGCTACGGAAGGGTAATTTTATTCTCCGTGCCGGGGGTGCGTGTTTCTCCCCCTGAAGGGCTACGTCAAAATGTGGATTTCTCGTTTTCCCTCCTCTGCGCGAATCTCGCCTCTTTCTCTCGAATTTACGCGCCGGGCGAGACTCGGAAAAGTTGGAAATCTTATGAACGGGCAACGAAATCCTCCCTCAGGTGTCGTTTTTATTATTTTATTAATGGACCCTGTCGCGCGACCAGAGGAACGCCCCAGAAAATGATGTGCATTTTTCGCTGCATTTCGCCCTCCAAATTTCCCACCCATGGACTC